TCCTGTATCATTTGTCCAGTCTCTGCATAAAAGGAAAGTTCAGGGCTTGTTTCAAGTCTTTGTTCAAGTAGTCTGTCAGGCTGGATCATCTCAGCTAACCATCTCAAAATTGTCCTAAGCAGTTTGTAGTCCAAAGCAGATCTTTCCGTAGTGTTAATCAGCTTAATGGCTTTACTATAGTCCTTTTGAAGATTTCAAAGTTGCTGTTAGGTGTGGTCATGGTTCCATGCAGACTTTTTCTTTTTGTGCTTCCTCTGTGGTTTGGAGCAATCACAGTCTGATAAATGTCTGTCTCTCGGAACCATGAACATTCTTCCCTAGAACAGAAAATCTTCACAACAATTTCTCCCCACCATTTGTCTTGCCAAACTTTTCCAAACTGACTTTTGCCGATGCTTTCTTGTAACACGATGGTCCTGGCAATTCTTCTCTGAACCAGCAGCAGCATCACCGCAGTCACCAACACGATGAGAAGGAGCTGGCAACGTGGAGCAGTAGCCACTGCTTCCATGGTCCCACCACTGTTTGTGGTTCAGTCCAGGCCAAAGCTTCTCCCAAGCCTCCTAGGCCGGCCTCAAACTCGGGATCCTACTGCCTCTGTCTCCTTCAGCAAATCCTACGGGCGTATGCCACCACAACCGGCTCAGTATAGCTTGGGCCTGAGCTGGGGCTCACAAGGCCACAGGCAAACAGCTTTTTCATGAATTTGTAACACGAACGTTGGGCGCCAGATGTAGCATGAATCTTAACATTTCTTATTAATAAAATCAAACCCGGAGCCAGGTATTGGGGTGAACTGGAAGATCAGAGAACAAGCCACAGCTAACCTCACCTGGTCAACTTCTCAGCTGGTCTTGTTTCCTCAGACTGGAAGCTTCTGTGTCCTCATCCCAATGGCTCTCAGCTGAACTGCTGCTCGAAAGCCTGAAGCTTAACCAGCCAAATGCTTTTAGTTTCTGGTCCTCACGCCTTATATATCATTCTGCTTTATACCATCACTTCCTAGGATTAAAGGCTCGATTTCTGGGATTAAAGGCATGAGTCACCATGCCTGGATTTTTCCAATGTGGCCTTGAACTCACAGAGATCCCAGTGGATTACTGCCTCTGGAATGCTAGGATTAAAGGCATGTGCTATCACTGCCTAACTAGTGGCTTTTCTGTTCTCTGACCCCAGATAAGTTTACTAAGGTACACGATATTTTGGGCAACAAAATATCACCACATTCACAGGCCTGAGTGCATGACATTGCTAGGTGTGAGGACTGGCTTTTCTTAGTGAAGACAGCACAGCTTCTTTCCAGGGGATGGATAGCTTCTCTCCATGGTTGCCCAGTGTTTGCCTTTCTAATTACAGACCCTACAAGGAAACAGTGGCCAAGTTGTGACTCAAGGATTGGCTAGACCCATGAGTTTCTGGAAAAGCAAGATAAGAATGCGTGAGGCTCCAATTTGGACTCGAGTAATATCTACAAGAGGCAAACTTTCAGCACTTATAGGTGTGAAATCAACGTGCCTTGCTGCTTACCCTGAATCATGGAAACCTTAGGGGCTCCCCGGGGGGGGGGGGTAGTCATTTCAAAACACCCTGCTCACCCTTACTGCATTTCATGTTACAGCCCTGTGGGAGTCTCATTATCTTAGAAGTAGGACCTCCACAGAGGAAAATCGCCCAATAGAATCCAGATTAAATATCCCCAGAGAAGTTGAGTAGAAAGGGTGTTTGTAGTCAGAAACTAGGTACATGGAACCAAATTTCTCCCAAGCCTTGAAGCAGCAAATGGCCATCCCGGGTGAAGGACAACTTTATGGTACCACTGGTTTGACTTTCTGGCTCATATGCAGCTTCATTGCCTTTGATTAAGGCATGTGTAGTGGGATCCTGAGTACAAATGTCCAAAGCTGCCCAGCAGAGTGTGTGAAGGAGAGACTGTTCTCAGCCAGGTCGGGGATTATGATTGAGAGAAGTCAAGAGGGATCTAGAAGACTAGTGGATCCCAGTTGACCGCAGTGGCTCATGGTTACAGGGGCCTGAACATGAGAGCTCTGGGGAGCGCCATTTCTGTTCACAGCGGCAAGGCTGAGGTGGGTGGGCTTAGAGGATTTTATTCTCCCATCTTTGCTGCCCAGCCTATCCCTTCCTACAGCTGCTGTACCAGCTGCCTCTTGTTCTCTCGTCTCCTTGTGATTCTAGCTTTATAGCTAGCAGTGCATAGTTCTTTGAAAGACTTCATAGGCTGTGATTCTGAACTCTGATCTGCCAGAAAAGATGGAATTTTTTTGCCAATTTCCAATGGCTTTGGAATTGCATAGGGAGAAATTTGAGTTGGCTTAGTCCATGGGGAAAAAAAAGGAAGACCATTTCCATGCTCACATTTTTAGATGGAAACCAGTTACCCAAGAAGCCTCAGCTGTCCACACAGAAGCAGATATGTTGCAGGCATATTCTGCTGCAGAGTCTGGAGTTGTTAGCACTCAGAGTGTGCAGCTAAAGGGGCATGTAAGAGGGGAAAGCTCCCAGTTGGGTAGAGATGTTTGAGTTTTATTTCCTGTTCAGTGAAGAAGCTAATGGGAGCCATTCTGACTCTGGGTTAAAGGGACAGTATTGGGTTCTGTATTTTGAAGGTTCAGGGATATGTCTGACTCCATGCTCTCCTCAGTGTGAGACCAGAGCTCCTCTATTTTGATAGGATAACAAGTTAATCATGTAATGGTGACTGTGTGACCATGGAATGGCCCAATCCTGGTCTCCATGGTGATTGTTTAACCACAGAATGGCCCCACCTGATGGCAGGCAATGAGTAAAGGTAACAGGCAACTACCCCTCTTAGAAGTAAGATTAAACCACAATTTCTGTAAAATCCCTAGAAACGAGCCAATCATAAATGTACATGTATGGAAATCCTCTGCTATTGTAATTTTGTGGTTTTTACCTTTAAAAGCTGTGCACAATTCAGGCTGGGCACTTCCTCCAGCCTCCACTGCATTGGATGTGTTGGATGAAGTCCCTGCCTAGGCTTGTATTGCTCCCAAATATCCTGAATTAAAGCCTGGGTTTTGCATTCCAGTATGCTCATCTTTCGTGGTCTCTCTGGTGGCCTTGATCTGGGCATAACACTCAGCATGATGGAATGATATCTCAGTCTATACCTAGTGTTTGCAATTCTCTGATCTTTCCTCATCCATATTTAGCCTTAGTCTTAATGCCTCATCATAATGACTTATTGCTGTGATACCAGTCAGGCTGAACCTGATGTGGTATGGTGGACTGTTGGAATGGAGCTTGTGTTGTATGTGCTAAGTTGCAAGCTGAAAGTTTTCTATAACCCAGTATTAAGTCTTTCCACCTTTCCACTGGTACAGTAACCCAAATCAAACCAAATTAAGAATGCTGGGTGGTGGAGGTGCACGCCTTTAATCCCAGCACTTGGGAGCAGAGTCAGGCAAATTTCTGAGTTAAAGGCCAGCCTAGTCTATAGAATGAGTTCCAAGACAGGCTCCAAAGCTTACAGAGGGAAACTGTCTCAAAAACAAAACAAAAAAGAATTAAAAGTCTGGGTTTAATGTGTAAAATGCTCCTGGATGACTTTTTTGGTCCTGAGAAGACTGAGAAAAGACTGAAAAGCTACATGACTGATTCTCCCAGGGGCAGATTAACCTGCAGATGTAGTCTGGAGCATCTCTGCAAGAGGTTTTCTGAGATGGGGCAGGATTTGGAGACAGAGAGGTGGGAGGGGGGCTGAGGCAGAGATCCCACCTGAACAGAAGCTAGTTACAATTCTTCATATGAGCCTTCTCTAGGAGAGGTTATTCTTCTGGCCAGTCTTGGCAACATCCAAATTCATCTATGAAAGCACCTCTATGAAAGAATCAGTGGTGATGAGATTGCCTGCACAGGGAAGCTTTATGTGAGGCCCGAGTGTGTGGTCTGGAATGTGTGTGTGTGTGTGTGTGTGTGTGTGTGTGTGTGTGTGCCTATTTTACATGGGGGGTTGGGGATGGAATAGGCCTCTTTTGAGAAATGGAAATCCTGAGAATGAGTTCCTGCTTACATAGGTCAACATGTATCATGGACTAGCTAGTGTATTTCAGATGTATCACATGAACAGCATGTGATAGTTTCAGATGCCCTCTCTTGCTATCTGCAGAAAGATGCCAGACTCCATCATTGAAGCATCTTGCCAAGGGTGACTTTGACTTCAGGGTTTCAGTTCTGTGTTAACATACATGTACTGTGTGTAAACACATCCTGTACTGTGCAAATCTAGTGGCAAGTGTTTAGAAGTGTGGGATGTGGGACCCAGGATCCCTTGGGCATCTTCAAGGCAAGTTTCTTAAACATGTGAGAAACTTCTGAAATTACTCTCAGTCTAAATGAGAATGTATTAGTGAAGTATCTTTGCTAGTAGATGTTAAATGAATCTGTCTTCAGTCTACTTGCATGAGATGGGAACAGAACAGACTTGAATGTAATGAGTACCTGGTATTAAAAGGCTCTAGGAACTGCTTTAGGAGAGACCAGTTAAATTGGCATCCAGCATCCAATAGGCTCACTCTTCTCAGACTCTTCAATAATGGAATTCTTCTGACATTGAAAATTGGATAATGCATATGCCCTCCTAGGAACACATTAACCTGAGTCAACAAAACAGGTTAAAAACTCATACATTATATTTATAATAAAATATTTTTAATCCTTATCAATTTAAGAAATTATGATTTTCTTCTTTATTTAAATAGGTATGTAAAAGTGCTTCTAGACTGTTCTTTAGACATTTTCTTCCAAAAAAATGAAGTGCAGAAATGGACTGGTGGATAGAAATTCAGACCCTCAGTTACAAATGCTTGCTGCTTTTTTTAAAAAAAGTTTTATTAAAAACCATTTCTTGTTCTTCAAGTAAAGAACATTATACAAAGAAAATACATTGTGAAATACCCAGAGACACGTATGTTTGTTCCCTCGTGGAAAGCTGTGTCCATCCTAGGAGGAGGGGATGCAAACTAGGAAGTAGTCCCTGGATATAGGAGGTAGTCCCAGTTATAGCTGGCCTCTTCCTGTCCACTAAGTACATTGTAGAGCTTCAGCTGCCTTGTGTAGGTACCAATAATCAGGTACATCTCCTAGGCTGAGAATGCACAATGGGTAAAGGCACTCTCATATTCATGAGCTTCCCGGAACACTGAAATAGGATGAAATCTGCTGAAGATAAGGTGCCTATCAAAGAATCTGCCATCTACTCCTCCATATTTTGGAAACAATGCCCTGCTGTTTAGCCTAGAGATAAAGTTGATTGGCATTTGCCGCCTCTGTTTTGGCTCAGGACACTGGTGAGGAGTAAAGAGAGAAAAAGGTGGACACGTGGCAATGGGGTTCTTGCAGTGAGCATGTTGCTCCCTAAGATGCTCTGTGATGATACTGTCCAGTGTTGGTGGGGAAGGAAGATGTCTATCCAAGTGTGTTTTTTCAGCAGGGCTCTGGCTATTAGCACCATGGTCTGACTTCTGCTGCAACACTTGAACTTTCCTGCCATTGCACAGTGATGGCCTCTCTCTGATAAAACTGGTCCTGCCAATTAAAGAGGAGTTGTCTGCATATGATGGGCCAGGCAAAGCCAATGAATCCTGAGCTACGCATGGCAGAGGTTCAGCAAGGCAGGCAGAAGGGGCAGAAGCACCCACAGCTGTATGGTTGCCCAGTTGGCCAGCAATGCCATTGCCAATTCGAGGAGTCCAGGGAAGAGAGAGTGGAAAAGCAGCAGCAGTCACAGGGGTGAAGGCAGAAGAATGTGAGGCTGCATTCATGGGCAGGTCAGCCTCTCTGGTCAGCACAGTGGCTGTCTCTCCAAGCCCTTTAGAAATCAGATGGTTTCTTATCATATTTTAATTTGCCAAATTCTGCAATATGAATAACATCCATTTGCCATAGATGATTAGGAAGAAGACCTCCGGGGTTTACCCCTAAGTGAGGAACAGGAAAATATTTTGGACATACCCCACATTGTTCTACTATTTGATGAGCTGCTTATTTGGTAAGATTGAATAGCTTTCTTAAGCTTTTGCTATTTTGATGATGAGGAGCATGTGACTGTTGAGCCATTTCCACTTGGGATAATGCTACTATCTTTGTTAACTTACCAGCCATTGCATTACCCTCAGCTAAAGGACCAGGAAGATTGGAGTGAGCTCTAATATGGCCCATAAGCATGGCAGCTTTCTTTTGTGGAATAGCGTCTTGAATTTGTTGAAACATTTTGACTTGATTGTTGTTAGTTCCAATATTTTTACCAAGACTGTTATTCAAAGGAGTCAAGAACATAGATGTTCTTTCATGAAGCAAATTCTTCATTAGCTTACATTGAGAAAAAGCATTTTCAGGATTTAGTATTTTCATTTCATTAGCTTTAACTCCTGATGTTATTAGCAGCTGTAATATTTAGCATTGATTTTTTTTTTATAAGGAACTTTCAGGGGAAGCAACTCTTTTGTAAGACAGCTAGATTTTCTTAAATTTGTTTCCCATCTATAAAGCAGTCATTTCTTTTTGAATGCCTGTTTCCCTGTCTCCCTTATTAGATTTGTGAAGGAATTACTCATTGCAGGCAGTTTGTTCAAAAGGCAAAGGACTTTTTTAATTTCAACATTTTCTTCATATCTAAGACAATGTTCAGTTTATAAGCTGCTTTCCCTTGTTTTAAGGATGTTAAAGTGGCTTGTTTGCTCTTATAGGTAGCTTTTTGTGTGATCTGAGTTCTCAAGAGGTAAGATTAAGCTTTCTAGCATTGCTTTGAGAAGAAACTTCATTCTGAGCTGAAAAGTTTTTGGACAGTATTGCCATCTTTAGCTGAAATCCTACATTTCCCAGAATGCATTTCTCTTCATCAGCTCACTGTTAAGAGCTAGCTTATGGACTCCATTTCCCATAGTTCTATTGGGGTCCCTTTTACTGGACTTGTTTAGAAGTTTTTGCTTTTGCAACAGAGAGATTTGAACCAAGAGTTTTAAGTTTTCAATTAGGGGACATTGAACGATTTCTATTCTCTCCTCATCTGGCGTTCACAGGTGTCTCTCTTTTATTTGACATTGGCCCCGGAATCAGAACTGCAAGTGCCATATTAGCTTGCATTGAGGCTGGCTTTCCTGATAGCAACTTTCCTTTGGGCTTGTGTTTGCCTTAGCCAGCCAGAAAAACAAAAACATTTACAACAGCTTTTCCATAGCTCCTTCAGAGAGATTTTCTCCCACTGATTTTTATCCTCATTTTGCTTGTTCCTTTCCCCCCAGATGCAGAGCTTCAGATCTCAGGCTGCTCTGTTCCTTTGCTAGCTGCCTTTGGAGGTAGGGGCTCCGCACCCCCCCCCCCTCAATCTGGCTCAAATTCTAGCATCTTTGTCAGGTCATGCATTTTCTGGGTGTGGAACCAAAATAAGACCAAAATGCTCTCACCCCAAAACTAAAGGCCTAAGACTGCTCCTTTTAGCTACAGGCCATAAGTTACTGGAACAGGCCAGAAGTTACTGAGACCAGTCAGTTCAGATTCCAGAAACCAGGAAGTGTAAAAGTAC